GAGTCTTTGAAGGAGGTTCTGACATGTGTTTTAAAACTCAATACACATTCTTATCCTGCCATCACGTTCTGTACAGTTTCACTGAGAATTGCTGAACCTGTCTCCACCAAAACAATCGACCATTAAGAGTTCAAACAGACTGAAGTTTTTCATTAACAGAAACTAAACTATGCTTAACATCGTCATCTTCAGAGCATCATTTCATGCAACCGTATGAAAGAAAAACATAGTGATCTCGAGAGCGGGGGTTGTTCCACAAAAACGATGCTTTAAGAAATCTGCATCATCTTTAGAGCGCCGCCGCAGTATTATAACAAAAAGAGCTTTACCGCGCTTTATCTCACCCATCAGTGTCTGTGTAGTTAAGGTGACAAAGCTTACAAGCCTGCATATTCTAGTTAGGCTAGCAAGATGTGAAAGTGCACGTTTGAGGTTACAAACTGTTTTTGTTCTTCTGGATTCCATTACAGTGAGCAAGGAAAATGTGCATGTCAACACTATGTTTGTGCACTTGTAGCAAGTTTCAGTCCTTTAAAAATGTACTCCTCTGGAGAGAAAAAAAATGTTTTTGGTAGCTTCTGCTTACTGTGCTTACTGAGAACACTTGAATAACAAGGCTTGACATGTCATAGCTAAAGAAATACAAAATCCTGGTTTCTTGTTTTTCTTCGCAGAGGATGACAGCCACACTATGCATTCACACCCAGTTATTATACCGATAGCCACCACACACACACACACACTAACGTCTGCTCAGATCTGGGATATTTCTTCTTCTTCTTCCTTTTGTTTGTTGGAACTTCTGTAGTCATTTACCTCATAAACTGTTTGCAGGTACCACAAATATACCGTTGATATCTCTTGCACACTCTCAAACGATTGTAGCTGGGTTTTTTCCACTGTTATCCCTCCGTAAGCTGTAGGTCTCTCATATTTGTTCACCATCGATCATAGCGGTCTGGCGCGTACGCTGCAAAGCAGCCGGTGGGGAGAGGCAGCATTTGCAATCAAACAGAGAGGAGCAGTGTGAAATCTCAGGAAGAGGCAGCTTCCCCCATACCCGTGGGCAGGGGATCAGACGATGAGGAAGCCTGCCTCAGACACTCAACACCTCCCACTGGCACCCTGATGCAAGCAGCATGCAAACCCACCCCTCACATGTATCTGTCAGCCAGGGGGTTAAGCTCTGTGTGTACCCCCACTCTGTAACTGCACTGTGGAGTACATGTTATGCTGCTGCAGCTGAGGTGCTTTTAGAAGCTTGGCTAAGGTTCACTGCAAGTCGCTGATGTGGTTCTAAATTTGGGAGAAGGTAGAAATTGCTGTTTTTCTTTTCCATGATATTGCTTTAAGCAAGCAGATGGGACGGACCCACTATAAAAGGAGAACGCTACAGGTGCAATCTATCTGTGAGTCTAGAGGAAAAGGATTCTGCTGTGCAGAAAGGAAGCAATGTCATTGAGTCACTGCTCTTCAAAACCAAATCGCAAGCTCTCTAAATCCAGTCAGCCTGTTTCAGCCACTGGCATAATAGTGCTGTGGTTTGCCCATCTGTTCTCAATTGTCCACCTTGGCTCGCCATCCATGACATACACGACTATAAACTCTAAAGGGTTTGTTCCAGACTGTGAGCAGATTTATTTCAGGTATAGGTACAGCAGAAAACAGGGTTGAGTGGGTGAGAAAATACCTATTTTCCCTCTGTGCCTTTGGCTGCTCCTTCAACCTGTGGTTGACCCATTTGCTTCATTGTGTCCACCAAATATTCAAACAATGATCATTTCAGCTAAGCGTGGGAGTGTGTTTTGATGCACAGAGTGGACAGTTTTGTGCCACACTGTAAGTGGACTGTAGAACAGCTACAGATGGCTAATGGCCACAGCAAAAGGCGGACACAAAAGTATAATTACCAATATTGATTTTTTTTGTGTGTGTGTGTGTGTGAAAATGGATTTGAGTGTGACAGAAAGGTCAGTAGAAGCAAATGTAAAAATTTGTGCTTTCACAAATGAGACACTATCATAACATTCTGTCATCACTACACAATAACTAATCCATTATTATTGCACGTTAAAAACTGTTTTGAGCTGACATGGGTGGCTGGCAATGAAACGCACTGCAGAGTGCTAATGACAGCATGCAGCAGCACAGCGAGCTGACGTTGAATATACCCCTGCTATTCGCTAAATTGTGCATTAAGAACAGCTTGTATGTCAAAGCTAGATTATAAATAAAACCATATGAAATTTAGATAAAGCACTAACAGTCAAGGTAATGGCCTACTAAAATATCTGACATTAAAGTATCTGCTGTATGTTCTCGCTTAATGACGTGTGATATGTACTTTGGCACCGTCAAAAGAAAATGGCAGACTTTGGCAAGCTAGTCGTGTATTTAGCTGTCACTGCTGATTTTCTGGCCCTTGATGATGATGAGCGTGGTTCAGAATGTGCTCTAATTCCTGTCAGTGGTGCATGGCATCATTTCGCATTACATGTTTTCTTTTAGTTGGCATTTCATTAAATAATTCCACATTATATTTTGTAAAAAAAAAAAAAAAACACAAAAAATGCAGCCGACCTGAAGTCAATAACCAACCTGACAGTGAGTGAAGATGTCACAGTATTCAGTGTTCCCCTATATGGCATATATCTCTACTGAGTTCAAAGAGAAATCATAAATTAAACAGAGCAACAGGACATTTGTGAATTTCAGGAGCTTACTGTGAGTTTGCGGTCCTATATGCGGACACATAATGGCAATGCCTAATTTATAAGGAACATGCCCAGTTGTGGCATGTGAAGTCTCTCGGAAACCAGTACAGTGAAGTCTTTCCTTTTTCCTGTACAGTAATTCGTAGATGTGGAGCTGTGCTGATTTTAACACGAGGCCCTCTTGGTGTGGCATAAACCTCCTGGAAGCTGTGGAGAGGTTTTAATCAAGTGTGAAATCCTTTTGGGGTAGATTCCTACACAACTGTGCCTGCGCTTAGAAACAGACTCCTCAACCCTCTCTCCAGCTCTCTTCCCATGAACATCTTTTTGTAGCAAGAGTCCACTTTGCTGCAGCGATGCATACAGACAATGCTCTTAGCGGAACTGAGAAAATGAAACTCCAGTCACCTTGCATGAGGCAATAAACACAGACACACACACACATACACACACACACCTCAACGTGTACACGCTCGCATTCCTCATTTATTGTAGCTCCTTGTTCTTAATCAACCATAAAAGTGTTGTTCATTCTTATGAAATGAATATTAGTTCGCTGACACTGACCTACTAAACAGATATAGGAATTTTCCACTTAAGCATAATGATGTAATTAAGCATGAATAAGAACAGTGCTCAGTTGTGAAGTGAAAGTATTAAATAGCCTAAACATCCAGCTGTTTAGGATTACAGGAGCAATGAGATTAACTGCAACAATAGATGCCCGATCATTGTTTATTAAAATAATAATAATAAAGAGGTAATTGTATGTAGCTTACCCAGGGGAAAGGAATATTTTAGACACAAATAGGGACAATGAATTAAGCTTAATGCCATGCTTTTATTTTTAGTAAACATCAGAGCTTTTAACATCTTTAGCACACAAGCTTTTCCCACTTTCGCCTTTGATTGACTGAATCCTCGTTGAACCAGATGCTGTGCTTTTTTCTTCTTCTTTTTTTCCGTAGCCTCAGAGATCTGGCATTTTTGTGAGATAATTATCTTGCCACTGGTCATGAGCACAATACTGATGTTGTGTCTCACAGGCTTACAGTCAAACTGGCATTTTCTCTGTTAGCTGCGAACCACTGCCTCTTATACGTCACCTCTTGTGGTTACATCATTCACATGCACCAGCTTCTTTCAGCGACGGGCTTTCTGCTTTCTCAACAAGAACATTTGCTCTCATTCGCACACCGTCCTGTAGCCGCAAAACAAGAGAGCTCTCCCACGACGGATGTCTCGTCCGATGGCGTGGTCACTATTGTGGCATTTGCAGTAATGCATTTATCACGGCAATCAAAACTTTACACATCAGCGACATTGCACGCACACGCGGATCTCAGCTGTCTGCTCTTCAGACATTGATCTGGCCATCTCGGGCTGAGTCTGAAGGGATAACAAAGATAAATTGAGTGGTATTTAAATTTAATACGGGCTGTATGTTTAGTTTGTCAACAGGTGGTCTGCTTAACCAGTCTGCTGCCTGGCAGCTGAACATTAGCGATGAATAAATAAATGGGGCCTTTGTCGCTTTTACAAGCATGAGAGAAACATGCGAGTTGTGAGAGCTAGCTGAAGCAAACTTATTTTGGAAGATTTCACAGCTTCCACAGTGAAACGAGGTCACTGGGTCGTGGACCCATTTATTTAATTAGGAACAGTTGAATAAAAAATTGATGAGAATCAAGGGCAGGGGAACTCATTTCAGTACTGTCAATCAATAACTCATTCAGCAATGGTTTTGCCCAGAGGGATCGAGCTATTCTCTGTGTAACCAAACACTGTACCTCCCCAGTACGTGTGGCTGTTCCATTATGTCCATTCCTGTAGTATTTTTTTTTTTTCATGTTGACATCTGCTTGGAGCATCAGTTGCAGCATGCAAATCACAACTAATAGAAATTAACTCACTGCTGTTGAACATGTTAACAACACGATGATATATTACAAACATAGCAGACAAACTGCTGTTGGATACTTCTAAATGACATAGACACAGCATGCCGTCTCTTGAATGTATCACATCAGCTCGTGGGCTACACACACACACAGTAGTGCTCATTACACAGTGCATAGCAACAGCTACATAGCAACTGCTGCTTACTGCTTAGCAACAGCTGCAAAGATCTCAAGGAGGGGGGTGGGTTTCACGGGGTGTTTCAAATGACACCATTTCTGTTCACAAATGCCTTTTTACAACTTTTTTTTTAAATGAAAATTGCTCCAGTGTTTGTCACTGTGAAACTCCCTCTGATGGTGCTTTTCTGCTCTCTCCTGCCCGCAGATATCCGCTCCCTCCCTGATGTGGCAATGACTGGAAACTGCACAACCGAGTGCAGTGAACTGGGCCATTCAGACGCCTGCTGGATGCCTGGGCATCCCTCCCCTGTACGCAAGACCAGGAACCCCCCGAAACTCTCCACCTTCGTGCCTTACCAAGACAGAGGGAGCCTGGGACGCCTGGCTAATGGGAACGCCAGGCTGGGTGGTGAGGAGCATCGGCCGCGCCTTCCGCCATCCCGCAGTGCCTATTCCAGCAGTGGTCATGACGCCAATCAGGACTGCCCCTTAGAGGAGGTGCCCCTGAGCGTAGCCTCTGAGTTTCCACCCACCTCTCCTTCTGCTCACACTCCAAAAAGAGAAATTTACCTGTGAGGAACATATTCATCTGATCAATACACAATTAAAGAAAATACACACTCCCCTCAAGAAGGAGAAACAGGCTGTCCACACATTGAAGCCAATGCCCAATCTGAAGTTAACAATATAGGCTGTGACCCATTCGATCACTGCTTTTCTCATTTTCTCCTTAAAATATTAATTTATTAGCATATTTATGAGTGACTCCACAAAGTTAATTGATGCACTCACTCATTTATTTATTGGAAATCTTGATGGGATGCAATTCAGTCAGATGAATAGGAAACACAGATTGAACCTAATCATTACTGTAGTTAGCAAAGTCCCATTCTGTGAAGTGATCTCTTGAAACTGAAAGTTGTGATCAGTGCTCTTGTGCCATTGCTACATCTAATTTAATAGACAGCCAGTCAGGCCATATCAAAAGGCTTAACACTTTTGACTAACAATCAAATACAATGGTCTATCTTAATGTACAGTGCTGTAAATACATTTGAATGGTGTGTTCTACATATATTTTTGTCTGGCATAAGCTGAAAAAAACAATGCCTCAGAGTTTTAGCATATTTAAGCTTTTCTTTATGCTGCTGTTTAAACTTGATTAAAAACCATCTCCCGGAGTGGAGCTCAATATTGTGGAAGGCATTTATCCGCTTCACACAATCACACACACGCACCCCCTTCGACCCCTAATCATAGTAGAATGGCCTTTACCTCTGCTCCCTGTAGAGCTCTTCCACTTGGTGGAGAGAGCTGTGTGGCAGCATTTAAACTGACATTATGTCCCACTGACTCGCAGCACTGTGACCTATCGTTCATCATGAAAACGGTTGACTTGGCCACAGTACCCCAGAGTCACAATGACCAAACGCAGAGCACTCGCGAGACACGTTCTGATTGGCTTTTTACTCTGCTGATGACAGTATACCAGTGTATCGGTTGAGAAAGCTCTTCTCTGTTGTGACAATCAGATGGGCTCTCTGTGTAATTCACAGTCCATTTTTTTCTAAAACTCATACTGCTTTCCGCTCACGGCTTAGGAGAACTTGTGTTGATCTAATGAAGGCCTAAGGAATTATTTACAGGAAAGGGCACTTGAGTGTTGAGAGACACTAGAGAGATAGAGCACTTATTGAGCGTGAACATGATGTGAACTGGATAGGTGGTATGTGCTATTTTCAATGTTAATTGTCAGCTCTCACTGGACACATGCTTCTGCAGAGGTGAATTCAATACACACCGAAATTAGTGATTTAACAATGTTGGTCTGACATGAAAGATTCCAACAATAAAAGCTGAAATAAATATTTGATTCGATACCTGCAAATACAGTGACAGTGGTAGGAGTAAGGCTTAATTTTGCCGCAACTGCCTGTTAATTATATATTTCCTTGTATTGAGGACAACATGCTTAATAAGTTATTAGGCATTTATCCTCCTCTGGCTATTGAGCAGAGAACAAAAACAGGGCATGCCCATGGGCTTCATTTATCTTCGCAAAGATTTTCCAAGTGAATCTGAAGGATACTGTGTGTCTGAAGGACACCATGTATTAGTCAGTAATTGGGTGTTAATGATGACTCCACTAGCCTGCCTTACAACATCGAAGAGCTAGTCGTTGTCTTTGATTTAAACATTGATTTGATTAGATTTGTAGATACCTTTCACCTCTGTATAGTATTTCCACAGTAAGACTGTGTCTCTGAATAAGGGCGGAAGAGCCTGGAATGGACATTTCCTAATTAGGGTGAGTAATAAGTCCTGAGCAGGGGCATGTGTGAGTATACCCCAGGACACGGCACCCACCAGATAATGCAAATCCACCCACAGAGCTACAATCAGTTAAAGGGGGTATTTTTTTTATCAGCACTTACCTCATCATGCTGCCATTGAAAGCCACGTTTAGAATAATTAACGCAAAAACATATGGAAATTACTGGACATGGCCATGATTAAATAAGGTGGGCGATTATCCTGCCTTGAGGGGGAGAAAGCACATTATGCTGTTTTCAAAGCCATTTAGCGACTTACGTAAAATTCAAACAACAGCCATGATACACTGTGATTAAACCCCCACGGCTCTCCCGAGCTCCCCTCTCAAAGCTGTGGCTAGCCGCTTCATGAACTGAAAACAGCGGGTAAGATCACTGACCTGGAATTAATAACAAGTGAGAAAGATACCAATGAGGGATAAAATCAGTGTCACACAGCTTCAGTCAAAACTCGATCTGTCTAAAAGCATTGACTGGATTCAGATTCAGCTCCAGCCTATGTGTCACGATGTAAATTTGGAATACATGTTTTGATTTGTGTCTTTGATCACACAAAAAAAAATATCTATATATATATGGAATAAATAGGCTTTTAGCAGATGTGTCAGAACTGTCGGTTGCTGATCCAAATGGATGGCGAGAGTTTGATTTAAGTCCAAAACAAAAACAAGCCTGGGTTTCTTTTCCCACTCTCTTGATAAGTTGGACTCTCTTGCTCCAGCCAATAATGACCTCCTGCTACTCACTTCTGGAACAATACATCACCAGGTTTGACCTTTCTTTTGAACTCATGCTGAATGAACTGTGGTTACTTCTTTCTCAAACACAGAACAGTTCTCCTTGATCCAAGTAAGAGGACATCACGGAGCACCTAAAAACACTCGAAACTATGTTGAATAATGTTTAATTTGTACTTAACATTGATTTAATGTTGAATTCACTTGAGTATCTTTTGCCTATCTGTAGTGTGTATTGTATGGTGATCATTTCTGTGGACAGATGGACAAATTACCGTTCTGAAATTGGCAAGAGATTTTTTTTTTTCTTTTTCTTACTGATCAAAGACTCTTAGCAAACTGGTTGTGTGAAAAAAATAAAGAAGTCTGTTGGTGGTGTAGTGTACATAGATCTCCACAACGCTGTGCCTGCTGTAAGGCAGGCAATGATTTTAGCATGAATTCCAAAGATAATTGGTAGATACTGTTTACTCTTTTTTCTTTATTTTTAACTTTCTGAAATGTCAGCGCTGGTTCATATTCAGAAGGCCCTCTCCCAAACGAACTGAAATTATCTGAACATTTCATTTTTTCACTGTTCATCTAGAACAAAGACAATTGCCTTGAAAATACGTCTTTGCAAGAGAGAATCTAGTTGTTATCCTAATTGTTGGTATATTTATATAGGATAAAATGCTTGTGATGCCATGTTTTTGTACAGTTTTATGTACATACAAGTGAAGCTTTCTAAAAGTACTGAGAAAAGCCGATGGCATATAAAAATTGTAACATGTTTTCTTGAGATGTGCACATCTTGCCTTGGTTGGATTGACCTTTGCTGAGTCAGTGTGAATGTGGCCGTTCTATGCCTGCACTGTAGTCATTCACCGGCTCCCACCTCCTGAGGACTTAATCAGTTTTTATGTTTATCGTGAACAGTGGATTGTCTTATCTTACCAGTTTGTTAAATCCTGTGTTCTGCTTTGTTCTGTTTCAGCATGTTGACAAATTCTCTTGTAATACTGTAAGTCCTCATGAACTTTGTAATAAAATCACTTCAGGGAAAAATGAACACTGTCAGTGTTTTCTTTGTTTGTCGTCATTATTCATCACTTCCGGTACCTAAACAAGTGTTTGGATGTTAGGGTTGGGTTTTTTAGTTTTTTGTAAATGGTTTTGCAGCCTTAGAGATACATTGTGTAAAATGCATCTCACTCCAGGACCTGGGCTCATTAAGAAGAACTAGTATTCTTGTCATGCGGGAACAGGCGCCTTATTTCTCAGTCAGGAAGCCCCCGAATGTTGAGAGGGAAGCATTCCGGAGGTTGAAGTAGGAAAGTCCCAGGACCTGTGTTCACTACTTCAACTAGAAAAACAATGTGCCAGAAGTACACAGACCCAGTCATGCACTTAGGAAGGAACATTCATTCAAATTGCTTGTTGCTACACATTTAGTGCAAGGATAACAAGGTTGCTGCTGTGTTTTTAATATGCATGTGACTGTAAGATATTTATATGCCATGGCTTGAAGTCAGAGAGAATAGATATTAAAAAAAACATATACTATCCTATTTTTCTTTTTCTTTATGCGTACCTACAGTGGATGTTACTTTAATACAATTGCTGATCTGATACATATTAGTTAATTATGTGGTAACAACAATAACGTAACATATTTAATCGAGAAAGGTTCAAACACAATATTGTGTCTAACAGCACAGCAAAAAAAATCCCTGTTTTGTTTGTTTAGTTACTCTTCTGGGGCGTTTTTTCACCTGAAAACAGAAAGGCCACATCCTACAAAATCACTGAATTTACCAGAGGGGTTGGATGATATAGATGACAAGAGACTGCCCTAAAGATGAGACAGTGAAAAGCTCCAAATAGTTCATAGTAATGCCAACAGCTCTGTAAGGCTATAATACTGCACCCTCTGAATCCACTCTTCAAACTACACAGTGCATTTTAGGTACCAAAGGAGGAGACAGACGCCCAATGAATGTCAGTCTTCAGCAACTTCTCCCAGCTCCTCTGGGGGGATAGCCATCCAAACCCAGAACAGCTGCTAGCTTCAGCAAGTACTAAGTCAGCCTTTGCCCAGCTAGCTATTCTTAGTAGACTTCTGTGAGGGGCACTCACATCAGGTGAACCTCCCTCAAATGGATACTCGCTGCATTTACACTGAGACCAAATGATAAATCAAGACCTTTGCCTTGTGGCACAACTACCTCTACATTTCCTCTTCACCAGTAAGGCACAGTACAGCACCCAACTCTCACCGTCTCATTATCCTTTCTTGCTGTCATTTCCCCTGAGACCAAGTATTTTAAGAAATGTTTGATACTTTATGTTATATGATTCCCCTTTACTAGAAAGAAGAGTGCTATCCTTTGGCAGAGCAGAACAGTGGCTTTCAAATTTAGATGTATTACGCTCAGCTGAAAATCATTCGAATAAGCACCGGAGGTCCTCCTGAAAGAGGCACAGAAAAGCACTGGAAAGCAGATCTCCTGGCTTTTCTCAAGCTATGTCTCGAAATCACATCTGGAAAAACCAATGGAGTTGAGACAATGGCAAAGTTTGCCACCTATCCTGTCTAAAATGCAAATATAACAGCTGGCAGAAGTGGTTTTAACATCCCTTACTCCTTAAGCGCTATGGAATCCCTTGGGTAACCCAGGCATAAGCCTTCTTTTAGTATGCAAACCAATCCAAAGTAAATTGGACTGGCAGACTTCCAGCCCCCTTGATCATTTGTTAGAAAGTAAAAAGCTGGTCCACTGTTCTACAGCCTCAACAGAATCTGTGTTGCCCCTCTGAGAGCTCAGATATGACCATCACTTTTAAGCTCTTTTCCAGTACACAGCGTAGGGAGGGAAGGAGGCTGAGGATATTGGCGAACAAGTGCCCCCCCTCACCCCCACCCCCACCCCCAGTATGCAAAAACAGATCATTTAACATGGCTAAGTGAATAACTGTACTCTTGCTTTTCACAGATTATCTCAGTGAACTGTGCTAAAAAAGGGGGACAATGAGTATAAAATTATTTTTACAAAATCACATTTAATTGGATGTGTTAAGGATCACTGTTTTCATTCCTAAATATTGCTTTTTCAAGTAAAATTTCATATTCACTTTAACATTAGATCTACCCATGTGAGTGCGATGCTATAATCTAATAAAAAAAGGAACACATCATTTACCTGGTACAGTGAGTATAATACTTTAGATGCACTGAATGGCTAATTATGAAGGAAGGGAAGCGTAACGCTCTTTTACTTCCTCTTTTACTTCCTTCTGTTTTCACCTTTTAGCCTTTAAGTGGAAAGATATATCCATGTCAAGATGTGGAAGCTCTCAAAATATTCACACTATATACACACACTGTGCAGGGGCCTTAAAGGCTTGAGTTTTTAAGCCTTTTACACATAGCATTACAGGCCATCACAAGTCCATGTCTCTTGAGAATGCAGTGTACTGTATGTTCTTGGATATGGTGTAGATTCAACCTTTTTGCTCCCGTGGAGCTCACTAGTAGTGCTTAGCAAAGACCGAGGCAGAGGTATATGGGCATTGTTGAGAACAATGCACACTGGAAAACGGGGGAAAGGCCTGACTTGAACCACAAAATAAAGTCTAATAGAGACCTTGAAACCTTACATGCTCTGGAAAGTGCAAGGCATAATTATAAGTTTTTCCTCAAAGATGGAGAATTAAAAGTGAAAAGTAAATCGTACTGGACTCGAGAAAACTCCAAGGGATGTTGGAATGAAGTACGAGTTCTGCTTTAACAAGGCATAGCTCAAAGAAAGCAAAGATCTAACAGCCTTTTATTTAATGGCAAGAGATGGATTCATGTTTGTGATTTTACAAGACCTTGTCTTAAGGCATGTCTTAAGGTGTCTTAAGAACCGCCACAGTTAGAGGAAAGTCAGAGCAACATTGCATATTTATTCATACAGCTCCTAACAGAATGCTTTGACATACACAATTTGTTGTGGTGGACACGTCTACAGTCACATCTGAGCCCTTTCAACACAATGCAATATTGACAAAAGAATATCTTGCTGACAAAGTGTCGGGGCATATGCAGTGCCTCGTGGGGCAGTTGCTTTTTTCACACAAATGCAGAATTAAGCAAAAAGCCCACACAACTCTGACGTGACCTAAAACTTGCACCCATCTCATTTTTCTTATTTTCTTGCAAGAGTTTTATGATGTGCATTTGTTTACTCCAACATTCTCTTCTTATACTGTTCTTGCAAAACAGACCTTGCATGAGTAACTTTGCTGAGTTTATCAGGTCTGATGCCATGCTCAACTTGCTGCTAATTTTAGCCCTCAGCTTCCCAGGGAGTGAGAGAAAGCCAATATTATCAATAACATCTAACCTTAAAGCTGGACAGGGACTGCTGCAATAGAAACTCAAAAAATGAAGCATTTTGATGAGGCATGTAAAAACTGCATCACTGTGTTTGATAGACCAATAAGTTAAGAACTACTTCATCAAACCAGACAATCCACATCCTTGGTGCGGCTTTTTTTTTTTCTTTACCTTTCACAGATGTTTTGTGATCTCAATAGCACAGGTTCAGTTGTTACTCAGGCATTACAACATTTCCATTCTCCACTGAATTCTGACTCAGGGTAAGGGTTTCATTTTATAATTTATTAGTCTATTAAACCTGCTCGCCATTCCCTTCACTGTTGTAGTGAAAGATGACATAACTGCCACCTTCAAGACCTATTTGCTTCTGGAAATTTCTCCTGTGGCAGGAACTGAGCTTCTTAGAATTGTCTGGCGATGCTGGCTTTCTATCTATCTATCAATTATTAATGTGTCTATGTTCTACTGGAGACCCTCCTACTTGAGGGATGTGCTGTCTCAGTATTATGGTTATTATCTGCTTTTTGACTCATGGAAGTGTTTTTCTATTCAGGGAAGTCAACTTGAATTGGACGGGAGAGACCTGAGACCATGTGGTAATTGACAATCATATGAAGATGGGGCTAGGAAGATGATAAATTGAAGATGTTAAATTGAATCAATAACTCCATACATATCTCATGAGCAGCCTGACTTATAATTCAGTTATACAGATCAGATTCTCTTAACAGTCCAACAGCCTAGGCTCACCTGTGGTAACATCTGAGGTTGTTTGTGGAATAAAAAAGTGTGAATACCAAGCTTGGAACTCACAAGAAATCTTAAGAATTTGAGCCATGACCATTAATAAGAAGAATTTATTTGACAGAAGATTTATTTGAGTAATGACAGGGCATGAGTTAGTAATGTTTGGCCACAAGTTAGGGAGCATGTATTTTACTGGTGAAATGTAGAAAGTTCAGGGTATTGTGACACATACTTATAATTCTTCTCTAATTTAAACATACATACAAACTCAAGGCTGTTTTGAAAGATGTCCTCATGCAGTTTTTCTATGAAATAAAAAAAATCTTTGCAATATATAATACTTTTGACAAAAGAATTCTTTTAATAGGGTTGTGTAAACTGTATTCGTATATCGAAGGAGCTTGGAAAGAAAATGTATTCGTATATATTGCGAGTGCAGCTTAATTCTCACATAGATTTAGTTTGAATGAGAGATTTTATGACGCTAAATGACATTGTGAATCAGATTTGATATTGTTTTAGTTCACATCAAGCTGATTATTGCCTCATTGCTCACACTGGCGTGTCTTCTCTTAAAAATCTTGACAGCTCTGTATACAGCCATAATTATGGATATTACAAGGTCATATTATTCAAACAGTGAAAAAGCCATCCCTGAATCACTGGGGATTTGGGGATATTCCCTTTAGCATGTTTTTGCTTTATTTCATCCATTACTGACCATTAGGCTAATGCAACACATCGGCTACGCTCTGCCTATCTCTCTGTTTTCCTGCTGGGCATATTGTGTCCTACTTGGAACACATGACACACATGGATGCGGACCATTGGCAAAAAGGAAGAGAGCAATTTCTTCATAAATGATATTTTAAAATAACCAAACTTTTATATGAGCCTAGGCTGGAGTGCAAAAGAAAAGAAAAAAAAGTTGAACTGCT